TTTTTTTTTTTTTCTACTCTTGGCAATACATCCTGCAACACCCGCCATTGTTTTCCACGGGAGCCGATGTTTCGAGGGACGAAACCGGAGGCGCAGAAGAGAGCCGGTTTTTAACCTTCCCGATATCGCGCGTCTCGCGTTAGCTTCTTCTCTGCGAGAGGCACATGCTTGCAGGATTTCTCGACACCTTCCCGGAAGTCTGACTGACGAATTATATTGACTCGAGACAGTTAACCCTCCGTTGATCTACGGGAAGAAACGAAATTTTCCACGCGTATGAAAAAATGTTGTAATTTTTACGCGAAATGTTCAAGAACAGTTTGAGGCGTTAAATGGAGCAGGTAAGTCTCAAACAAGAGCAAAAGAATATAGATGAAAAATAACATTGGACAATTCGCTGTCTTCGACGTAAATTACAAAGGGCCATTTTGCGAATCGTTGCGGAAATTTGCATTCAGCTGCGAAGTGAATCCCGATTACGATCTAGTAATTTACGCGCAATTACGACGCACGTACGAACATCACCGGCGCGTCGCTGATGGGAAATAATCTTCCATAGTGTGTGGTCAACAGACACAAGGGCCGATCTTCTTTTTAGCGGTTCCGGGAGTTAGAAGCAGCGGAGAACCTTTGAAAAACCGTGCACGATAGCCCCGGGACCCGTCTTTCAGTCTCCCATTACTCATCGCGTTTCCCTCGTTACAATCCAGTTATTCAGATTAATGGTAAACGCGAGGATGAATGTATGGCTTCGCAAAAACTGACACGGATACAATGGGACCATTACCCAACCAGATAATTAACGATCAATGCTTTGCAAACATTCCGTGAATCCACTCTTCGATCAATAATTTTTAATAAAGAATTTGAAAATTTGGAGCATACAAAAATACACACGATTCGTTATTAATGTTCAAAAAGAGAAAAAAAAAAGAAAAAGAATAAAGGATCTAATCGATCTTTTTATAAAGTAATATTGGGTTGCATATTATCTTAAAATGTAACTAACTTCATTTTAAACCGCGAATTCATCCCGTAGTAGCTGATTGTTTTATAGAAAAAAAAAAATGCACGATCTCGTTAACAATTGTTTGTTTATCGTCGACTTTAAAATGAAAAATCAAAACGGGACATTTTGCTGTACTACTTTCGAAAAGGACAAAGAAACACTGTGCAATGCATGTGTCATAAAAAATTATCTAACATGTATGATGTAAAAACCCTTCAAACTTAAATTCCATCACTGATGAGGATCGTACAAATCGTTCTTGGAATTTTTCTTGAAATCATAAAATTGCCTGATGGCAAAGATAGGTCGCAAAATGGTAAAAGATAATCGTACAAAATGATCAGTATATCGTCTAATGAAGTTTCTGCTTCTCATGAAAAATTCGCCTTTCACTTGCACACAAAAAGACGCAGTTACTATTTAGCCAACTTAATATATAAAAGATCTAGATGAACCAATTTTCGTCGTGGATTCTATTTTTTAAATTATTTTCAGAAAAACATGAATGCCCATAATCTATACTACATCAGATATTTTAATACCAGTATATTATATCACTTTACTATATACGTATGAAATCAACTTCGCAAGATCACCAAATTAATCTTCCAACGGAAATAGATCCTTTTATCCATCTGCAAAAACACGTTTTCTTGATTCTGAGACGTTCAAACACACACACACAAAAAAAAAAAAAGAACGCAACAACCAGTTCAATTAAAAATTGAGATTCATCGATACAATTTCGCGTTTTACTCCGAGATAGTTCTGATCCTTCGAGAGGCGAGAACATGTACACTTTCTTCTCACCACGGTGCCGATGCATTAGTCTAATTGAAATCCGGATGGCGTGGAGCACGTGACCGTACACGACGAGCTGTCACGCTTTCAAACAGCTATAGGTGTGTCATAGATGCGCGCCAGGGTTGCTCACTCGCCTGCATACCTGGTGACGCGTTCACGTGTCGTCGCCGTTCGTCGTCAGACGACCGTTAATGAAATCGGGAACGGTATCGGTTCGATCGTCCAGATGCATCGTCGAATTTAATTCGAGCGGGCCCGACGTTTCCCTCTACCTTTCATTAGCCAGGAGGATTTACAAATCCGATGTTTTCGAACCGATGCTCTCGAACCTTGAATTGAATCTAATCCCTTCGACTTCAGCCTTAATACGTAAATATACGTTAAATATTAAATGTAAAGAGAAATAGGTACGTGTGATTTTAATGAAAATTAACATCGATGCAAAACACACTTTGTCCTTAATAACTGCAAGAACAGAAAATCTAAAAAACCTCACTTTGCCTGCAAGTATATATATATATAAATATACACACGATTTACTCATTTCCATTCCTTTGAATTTACAGATCGAGGAATCTTCAACGTAGTTCGTCTCTTGTAATATATCAGATTTAGAATTGGCCTTGGGAATCCGCGACGAAGTTCAAGTTCAAAGGTTAAGTTTCGCGTTTCATCATTCATCGTTCGCGACTGATCCGAATGTAACGAATTAGCGTCGCGTGAACAGTTGCAGATAAAGGATAACCTTGAAAATTCTAAGCAGAAGCGGGATCGTGTGGAAAACCGACGTGACCCGTGTGTCGGTGGAGCACAAAGGGACAGAGGAGAACACGTCTCCAGGAAGGAGCGCATAGTACTTTCTAAACGTATGCGCGCCGCGTGCGCGCATGCGCCGAGAAAGTAAAATGAGATACTTTCTCTACGTGGTCGTAATTCTTAAAGAGGTGTAAATAAAAGAAGGGAACGCTTCGTATCGTAACCGGCGACGAGGGAAACCGTTTTGAGCCCAGCGCGCGTACGCGTGTGCACGCTTATTAACGGAAAATTAAAGCGCAACACACTCGCTGTATCTTCGTACATGGTCGCAAATGAACCGTGTCTAAAAATACTCTCACACGTTAACCGAACAACCGTTACGAACGCTCTCTATATCGCGCGAATGTGTTAAAAAAAAAATCGGAGATTTTTATAATCTTTGATTCTTGTATAGAGCGACCACTGAAAGACTGAATGATATTAAACAGAAATAAATTCTTTTACAAACACATGCTTTTTCTTTAATTCTTTATCATTTTATTTGGAAATTAATCAACAGATATTTTTCAGTATTATGTGTGAAAAAAAAAAAAAAAAAAAAAAAAGATTGAAAACGAACAAGTCATGACTTTTTCGAAGCCTTGAGTTTCGCAAGAAAAGGGCACGTGAGAAGCAAAAAGATAGACCGAACGAGTTAAATAATTCGCAGTTGCAAAGTTTCTTGAAATTTTCCATCAGATCTTTCCGTTCCACCATTTTATTCCAATACTTTCAACGCCGTGTGTTAAAATTAGGTCAACCCGCGACTCGGAACGCTGATGAAAATTACCTTTTACGCGCCGATTGTAAAATTCCCCGAATACTCCGGTCGAAGACTCTCTGAAACGAACACGTTAATTCGCCGGGCACGCAAGCAATTAACATATTTTAGCCGGTAAACTGTTTCGCGTGATAACATCCGGTCGCCGACGGAGGTAGCCACCACGAAATCTCGGCTGTGTTTACGCGCGCAAATGAGAGCGAGTGCGATTTGTTCTCTGCCTCGCTGTCTCGTTCTCCATTTAGTCTTTTTCTCGGCCTTGATCGCTTCGCCGCGGAGCAAGGACCGTGGAGAAAAAGGAACGGAGTATACACACACCAGGGAGAGAAGCAGTGAGGATGAAGTGAAATCTGACTTCCCCCCTGTTCCAAGTAGATACACGCGTGTGCCTGGCCAGACACACTGGACCGTACCAAACGTTCGTTTCTCGATTGGAAGCCGAGATTCGAAACTCTGCTTAAAGATTCTGGCCGAATCGACGGCGTTAATCCTTTTAAAGAGGCTTCTCGGTTCCTGATGAAATCCCTGGTCAGTTTTCTTTTTCTACTTTGTCTCTTATCACTTTAGATTTCTTTTTTAAACTTTTACCGAAAAGAATGGATTTCAA